TCTCTCTCTCTCTCTCTCTCTCTCTCTCTCTCTCTCTCTCTCTCTCTCTCTCTCTTGTTGGGTACCCCGCCCGACGCGGCGCGTTAACGGCCGTGTTGTTTTTTTCAAGCTGGGCGAGGTACTGGTGGTTTAAGGTTCACAATTTAGGATTCGCTGCACTCGCTCTTTTGAACCACCAGTACATTTCCCAGCCATTTTTTCAGAGTTGCGGAGTGCATGCAGCCGCTACTCTCGGGAAGTACCGGGGTGTCGTTCGCTGGATATCCATCCTGGCAAAACAGGTCGCATGCGAGGCCCTTTTTGCCTGGATGGATATCCAGCGAAGCTGAGACCCGGTGATTCCCAAGAGTCGCGGCTGGAAAATGTACTGGTGGTTAAACTGAATCGTTTTAGGATTCCTTGTAGAGTTTTGGGGGGGGGGCGGGGGGGGGGAAGAGGGAACGATAACAAAAAGTATTCCTTATAGACTTGCGAATAAGGGTGCAATAGTAATAACCAGACCCTTTTACATTGGAAGAAAAAGGGTCCTCGTACCTCGGCCTTGTGTGAACCAGGTCCACAAGCAGGTTCATCAAGATCGCCACAGAGTCACTCAAACCAGGTCCATCAGACATTTTCCAAGTATTCCTTTAGAGATGCCCAAAGGCCTATCCTACCGACCTACAACGCTTCAGCCTACGGACCCTACAGACCCTACGGCCTATCCTACCGGGACAGCCTGTGGCTGGGACACTTTGGGACCCTGGGACCGGAACTGGGCCGTCTGCAGCGTGAAATCGCCGTGAATCCTTTCAAAAGCCCATGTTGCAGAGTTTTGGGGAATCAGAGGAAGTCGTGTGTCAACAACCTGAAAAAAGGAGAGAGGGAATGTTCGTTCCATTTCACTTTTATTTTGCAAGTCTCCAACACTGGACTGGTGCTTGATCAGCTAATGGACTTTGCTTTTAACCGCCAGCACACGGCCCCAGCCTCGCTGAAAATGCAACTTGTCGCCTACGAAAATTTCGGAAGCTCGGCCTACCGGACCACAATGGGTGGCGGTGCAAGCTAATAAAGAAAGGAAGTGCGCCGCTGGCGGTTCGGACAAGCTTGGCACGCAGTGGCAGTCATACTGAGTACTGGTGGTTGAAGAGCGCCTCTGGAATGACACCCTTTGTACACCCTAAAATCCAATCTGAGTAACAGGTTTGCCTAAGATGCAACCAAGGGCATACTGACCGCATATTACCGCTATTGCAGCCA